TCTTCAGCCCAAACCCTCATATTTTCTGTTAATGAAAATCGCTGAACATATTGCCAATGTTGAGAACATTTTATACAGGCTTTAGCAATATTAGCTGGTTGCCCTCTCTTTACAACCGGAAGTAATTGCCTAAAGTCCCCACCCATAAGAATAACTTTACAACCGAGAGGAAACTTGTTATTGCAAACATCTTGAAGTATTTGAAGAATTTGGAGTTACATTCCATGTGCTATTTTCCAAAATCGGCACAGGAAGTTTGAATAAACCATGAAGTGTACATCCTTTTTTTAAAGGAGTTGCAGCTATTCCTGCCCATGCAGCTGTTTCAGTTATAATATGTATATTGCTGGTTTCAGCAATTAAATAATTGTTATCATTAATTATCAATAATTATCAGTAATTATCATTTGGTCTAACTCTATTTGCTTCGTCAAAGTAAGTAATTAGCAATGGTCTAACTCTATTTGCTTCGTCAATTAAAACCTGAACATCTTTATCTTCATTTTGTAAGACATAATCTATAAACTCATCTAAAGTAGGAAGATTATAATCAGCTAAAGTTTTACTATTCTGATTAATTATAGATTCAATTTGACGCAGGGCTGCCTGCTCAGTAATTATCAGTGGCATGGAACGGTAAATGTAATCCTCCATCATAAAATCTTTAAAGGCAATCCAAAGATTTAAAGGATCATCAGGTTCCCAGAATGTCAAAATAATAGAAAACAATTGTCTGATTTGTTTTGGCAACCGAGTTGCAACAGCCTCAATTAACATATTTTAGCGTCATCTTGTAACAGACCTAATTGAGAACATGCTTCACGGAATGTATTAAAAACTGTACCATTAACAATATGCAAATCTTCAAAAGAAACTGCACCTCTCACATGCAAAAGTAACATTCTAAGATAAAATACTTCACCTATTAGGCTTACTTAATACATCCTTACAATCACCTTATTGCTACCTCTTTGCCTAACTTTCCATTTACAACGTTTGCTATCAAAAACAAAGTGGTAAGGAATTTCAACATACGGATAGTGTCGGACTTGTTCATTTTCAGCATTTATATTAAAGCATGCAGTTAGATAGAGTGTCTGGGGAACAGGCAGCCTTAGTCTAAAGCTGTCTGTTCTACAAAATATATCTTTTGATTATCTGGTAGATGAACCTGAAGTCAAATGATGTTATGTGATATATCACTTAAGGAATACTCAAATATTCCCCACAATGCTTCTGGAGCTGAGACATAGCAACAATTTAAAAACGTGTTTATTTCATCATGGTTAACTTGCTCATTTATCAACACATTGGTACAGTCATGCCCTTTGTAAATGTACTTATATAAATACTTAACTGACTTTATAGTCATGCAGGCTTCAACATTTATGGGCGTTTGATATTTTTTAGATAGCCATGGGTTCTAAGGTACAATCCAACGCTTATCAATTTGATTACTTTTTATATTGACAATTCTTTCATTATTGACATATCTATATGTGGATAACCATTAAAAATTGCAACAGTGTGGGAATTAGATTATTTAGGATATTATTTTGTGCATTTCCCATCTTTCATGCATGGAGAATTGGGATTTAAATTCCATATAGTCCATGTATCATGCATGATTTTATAATTTCATGACGTTCAAGATCAACAGCTGGGTCTGGAATTTCTGCTGATATTAAACTATCAATTTCTTCTGCTGTTTCTGGCTTATCAGCATTTACAAGGTGCAATAAAATATGTATATGTGGCAAACTACATTTTTGAAACTCAATAACCTGCACATAACTTAAACTTTGCCTACTCCATACTTAAAAATATCCTCTAAGAAAAATTTAGGTTTCATTTTAAATACCTGACAAACTAAATCATGTCTGTCATTAGCAGTTTGGCCCAGGTTTAAATTTTCTACTATTTCTCTCCATTTCGGATTGCAGGTAAAAGTAATGAATAGATTTGGTTTACCATATTTCTTTATGACTGCCATCGCATCTTTAAAGTTTTCTTTTAGTGCTCTTGGACTACTAACATATGGAAAGGCAATATAACAACAGGCCTGGTCTTACATTAAGATCATTAGCACGATTAATTATATGTTCATGCAATGCTTCGTATTGTTCACTTCTAAGTTTGTTTTTGTTATTTCTAATAAAAGTAAGGCGCTGTTCCTCAATTTTGACATACATAAATAACATATTGCTGAAAAAGTTTCTTACCATAAAATACGAGTTGGGAGGAGCTATTTGGTAGTGAAGGAAACAAAAGATAAAGGAGAATTTTAACTTCTTATGTGTTTAAAAAGGTTTTGATTTACAGCATGATTAACATGGTTTCCTGTCATTAAATCAGTCAACATGGTGGATATAGAGAAAGAGAAGCTAATACAACTTTTTCTGAAAGGCAGCATAAAAAATGAGCTTATTATTATTACCTTATGTTGGTATCAAAAATGATTTTCACTAGATGAAATAACGCTGATAACACATCTTTAACACTAAAATCAAATATTGCTCAATCCTCAAAAGAAAGGTCTGGAAAAATATGATGTAAAAATAATATTTTTATCAAAATAAACATTATTATGCACAACTTCTCAGAAACAGATCAGGTACTTTTTTTTGACAAAAGCGAAATAAAAGAAACTGTTTTACCAACGCGTGATTGTTTTTTACCATATTAGATAACATTTTTCAAAGGGAAATGTTAAAAAATGGTTGTGCCTCCATATGCAGTTATGCCCCCACTTCCCCTAAATATGAAATTTGTTTAATTTAATTTATTATTGCTCTGTTCTTTAAAAACATTGAGCACTCTATTTTTAGAATACACTAACATAATTTTTATATATATGAATATATATATAAGTTAAACATATTTAATGAAGGAAATCAAAATTCTTAAATGTTTTAATGGGGAGGAGCTATTAGTAAAAGGGAAGCCTGTTTTTTAACAAAATTTATTTATCATCAAAAGCATAAATTGTTAACAAAAGAGAACAGAGCATAACAACATTTTTTCAACAATATTTTTTCAACACATTTTATGAATCACTAATTACAAACAGATTTGATACATGTGTTTCATCATGACAGTACACCACTTTATTGGCAAGGACAACATTTTTGCTCTCAACAAAGCTAAGTCACATTATAGCAAAGTACATCACTTGGCTAGCAAGGTCAACAACCTTGCTGTAAATTAAGCCAAGACACAAAAATTTGAAACCATGCAAACAACATAATAACCACTTACAAACTATAAACAAATAACATTATATCATAAACATAGAAACACTTCATATATAAAAGATATTTACACACTTACAAAATATAAACCCATATAACCTTAATACATAATAAATAACACATAAATATAATTAAATATATAAATTAGAAACATTTATAAAATCAACCTTATTTTTGTAATATTTGTTCAACGACATACAAATGATTGTTCAATGACATACAAATGATCAAACGACCTGGTTTTTTATATTATAAAAGCGAACAGTTTTTCTTTAATTTCATTAAAGTAAGGTATCAAATGATCTTGTTCTTTAACATGCATTATAGAGTTGACCGTGTGAGATGCAAGGGTTTTAGAGATAAACACTAACTTTATGAAGAGTTTGACTTTTTGACCTTTGAAAAGAGCATCATCTTCTAGAGTCATCATTGTCTTCTAATTTTTAAAAATAAAAATTACAGATTAATATACTTTAAATATAATTGACAAAAGAATTGCGTTATTATTAAAATGTATGAATTAAATAAATTACCTTTAAAAGTTACTATACTTATTTAAAAATAACATTTTATTTTTTACTGCGTCATCGAATTAAAAAGTTTTCATTATCTCAATCTCAATCCCATTATACTAATGTATAATGAGATTGAGATCTGCGCACAAAACCACTGAGGTACTGAAGATATATGACTCATTCAAAGATGAATCATTTTATAAATGTTTCAATCAACATTCAAATAGGTACTCTAAATAGGCACAACTTTATTGCATAGCAAATGTAAAAAATATATTTCTATGTACAAATGTCTGTAAGTATAAACATCAGCAGGTTGAACTTGCAGATCAAATATGGAAGAATCGTGCATGTATTATGAATAGTGTAAGAAAATCTTTTAATTTTTTTTTTTGATAATTTTGTATTTAAAAACAAGATAAAATAGAGAAAACCATTAAATGTTTTTTTACTTATCAGTAGATTGAACTCACAGAAACATAAGGATCTTGGTACTGAGGATAGTGCACTTACAAATATGCTTTTATTTTGCATTTTTTATTTTGGTAAATGCTTATTTTGTTTTAAAAATCTTGAGTACTTTTAATTAAAATAACTTTTCTTACCTGCTGATTAAACATAAGGGGGGGGTCCCCCCCCCCTTATGTTTAATCAGCAGGGAGGGAATCTTAATGAGAGGGAATCTTAATGAGAGGGTCAAAACAAAGTTTTAATAAACAGGGGGAGAAAAGTATGCATATTAGTATTTTTTGCTCCAAGAGCAAAAAATGTTAATATGCGTACCTTCTCCCTCTGTTTATTATTAGAAGTTTACGATAAGAAGTTTTAAAGAATGGAACATTAATTGTTAACTCAAAGCCAAGATTTTTAATGATTTTTTTTTCTACCATTTACCAATTAAATATTGAATGTTTATAATAATGTTTATTGAATTAAGTAAGGAATGATTATAGTAAAGGTTGGTTTGGAAAAGAGTTACAAACTTATTGCGTAATTTCAGGAGATAGAGTCAGTATAGCATGATGATTTTTTACTAGAAGGAGAGGTCCAAAACTGTTGAAAATTGTATGGTGTACTTTATGGATGACCCCTTTATATATATAAATATATGTTATATATTATATAAATAAATACATGTATGTATACATAAAATGAGTATGTCTATAATAGTAATAATAAAATTTATTTATATTTGTATATATTACTGCATATTTATTTGTGTTATTTTTTTCAGGTTTGTAAATATGATGGTGCAGCATTTTGGTGGTATGTCTGTTTCTGCAGTGACTAATTATGAAGAAAGTGACTACCCCTTACTTGTAGTTGTCTCAAAGTCAAAATCAGCTGCAGAAATATGTTTGGTATTACAAGGTAAACTTGTTAGATGTTATTGTTACTAGTAAAGTTCTTAAATTGTATCTATTGAAACTGTGGTGTTAGATATTACTTTTTTACCTCTTTGTTTTTAAGAAACAGTTCATTTGTATTTTTGAAAATGATAATGTCTTATCATTTTTAAACAAGGTTGTTATTTCTGTGATAAGTTACTGTTCCACTGAGGTTTTTAGTGTACATAAATGATAGCTGTAACTAAAAAAGTGTTAAATAAAAGTTTTTACAATTTCATCTTTTTACAAAGTCCAGATTTTTCTTAAAAAGAAAAATCTGGACTTTGTAAAATTTCGGGATAACAAAATAGTTTTCTTAAAATACTAGTTAAAAATATATTTTTGTAACTTGTCATCAAATATATAAAACAGTAAAAGTATCGTTCATCAGTTACTCTATGCTAAATTTAGTTACATTATTATTTGTACGTATGTACAGCTAATTTTTTCTTATTTGTAAGTGTATATACATTAAAAATTTTTTTACTACTTTATCTAAAAAATCTAGGGTAATTAAATTTAATAATTTTTTAATATAAATTACCTTAGCTAAATAAGTATTGAAATACTTTATTTTCATAAAAAATTATGCCAAAACATAAACTCATATTCACTGTACCTATCCCTATTTAAGTCAGTCGATTTATGTACACTCCACTGTGACTACTATAAAATAGTTGGTATATGCACTTTTTCTATGAAATTTTGAACAAAAAAAAAAGATAAACAACAATAATAGTTTAAAAATATAAAACTAATTCGAAATAAAACTTTAAAACAAAAATTAAAATTTAATTACATCCATATCACTTCGCTACTGATTTACCTTAACAAAAAATTAAAATATTTATGCATATTACTTGAAAGCGCTTACAAATGATGAATTTCTCTCTTTAGATATTCTGAGACTCTTGACACAGGAGAAATTCTTAGTTACACAAAATGCATTTATATTTCCAAATATTTTCTGGATTTTTTCTAGATATTTTTATAAAAAAAAATTTCAGATTTTTAAAATATAACCTGGATAATCTCTGAATTTTTATCTTACTTTGAGCTATAATTTTATGGTTAGATTTTTTCATATAAGTTTATTATTTAATTTTTAGTTCTTTCTGAAGAATAAACACTATTAAAAAAAAATTAATTTAGCTAATACTTCGTTGGATGAAGTCATGTCTGTTGTTATATCTGCTTATGAAACAGCAAAACAATCACAAGATATTGAGCTTAAGTTAGAGGTATTATTTTTGTAAGTCAATGTGTGTAAATCTTTCTTATATTTCAATGGAGAAGAATATTTAGTTTATTATAAAATATATTAGAATGATCGTTTTGCTAGAGATGCAGAAAAACAAGAGCAAGATGCAGCTTTTTATGCTTCTTTGTCTGCTGATAAAGCAAAAGTAATTTTTTTTTGTGTAATTCTATATAGGGGAAGTGGGGCATAACCGCCCCTGTTACGTTTGGTTTAATGTTATATGAAAATAAAAACAAAATGTGTTTTTTTTAACATATATATATATAATGTTACAAGATTTTACTGATTATTACTATGAACTTAATCACAATTTAAAAAATACAATAAATTTTTGATTAAAATTTTATTGTATTTAAATATTTATTTTTAGGCTGCTGCAGAGCAAGCTCGATTAGTTTTGGAGAGACAAAAAGATCAGGAAGCTCAATCACAAGAGGTTGTAAATTATACAAATAATATAATAAGATATCTTGAACATTCATTTTCAAAATTTCAAAACCTTGACTTATTTGTAACAGTTATTAAATAATAACTGTTACAAATTGTAACAGTTATTAAATAATATGCACTGTGAAATAGATCAAAGAGTTTTGTCTTATTATTAAAATTTGAAGGAAATTATGTTATACATTTTGGTTGTAAAAAATTAAGTGCAAACACAGAGCTGAGTTTATAAAAGCAGAATGTGTCAAAAAACTGAGTGTAGAAAAGAAAGCTATTATTGGAGTGTCACATGAGGAAATTCAAAAGTTGCTTCAAAAACTAATGTTTCTCAAAATACTGTTGTAATCAGAGTTAACATTGCTCTGAAAGGCCAAGAACATTTTTCAATCGTGTGACCTCATTTCAAAAAGTAATTTAGTGTAAAGTAAAATAAATCATACTTTCCTTTTTTTCAAAATTTGTGAAGAACTTAATTTTATGCAGGAAACCACATCTATTTAAGGTAGGCTTTAAAAATGTGTTTCCAAAAATTGCAGATTTATTTTTTAACAGGATTCTGTTCCAGCTGGCAGGATAACAAGATTCCAGCAGGCAGGATAACAAGATTCCAGCAGGCAGGATAACAAGATTCAATTAATAGTTTAGAGATTAAAGTTCTGGATAACACTTTTATAAAACTAGAACCAGAGATAATATAAATCCTATGTATGGATGCTATATCCATCATAGGTAATTTCTAGTATGACTGGGTTGGCTTGGGAATAGAAGTTTTCAAGCTGGTTTTTAGTAAAATAACTATAATATATAGTTATGGTCACATACATAATTGCTGTTTCCGCGAGAGATTGCTATTGTTTCTGGTACATATCTGAGCTAGCTTTTAGAACCAGAAGATAATATAAATCCTATGTTTTTTTTCTGTTGAGGATATAATACGATGTGTAATTAATGCTGTATAATTATATTCTCATTATCATCATTTTACTTTATACCTTTACTTTTAACTCATATCCTAATGACCAGATTCTCTTATGTATATTATTTTCTACTATCTATTACTTTTTGTGTCCAAGAAGGGTTTACCTATATTCAACCCATCAAATGAACAAGGAATTTGTCTACTAATTTTGATAAAAAGTTTATTCTTAACATCAAGTCATATAAAAAGCAATAAAGAATATAAACATTTGATCATAGTAGAAAAAGAAAAACTTACAAAATTATTTAATGAGAAACTAATAACTAATTTTTTACAATTTGTTTTGTCAAATGGTAAATAACAAATCCTAAACAAAGGTATTTCATTTATACTTTACTCAAATTCTATTCATGTTAATTAATTTAGAAATGCAGTGATCCATTAATCTAAGAATGTTTTTAAAAAAGATGGAAAAAATCAATTAACTCACCCATTCCGCAAAAAATTGCAATGGACACCTCCAAATGCAAAAAAACCAAAACATAAGTTGTTTTTTTTAACAGATTGATCGAGAAATTGAGACAATTATGAAAAAACCCAAACCCAAAGTTACAATGTTTCATCAGTAGAGTCTATAGCATTGGAGAAACTGCATAATAATAAAGTCATATTCAAAACAGCAGATAAGGTGGTGGGGTTTGTATTTATGCAGTATGAGAATAAAATAAACCAACTATTAAATGATACTAATACTTATAAATACTTGCCCCATAATTCAATGGCCAAAATATTAAATGATATAAATGCTCTAATAGACTACATGGCTGTCCACTACATAATCAATGAAACAACAGCAAATTTTTTATGACCTGATAAACCCTGTCGCTACCCTGTATATACAAAGAGGGTATACTGTTACAACCTATTGTTTCAGAATGTAATGGTCCAACAAACCATTTATCTAAATTCATCACACACTTTATACAACCAATGGCAGAATCTCTCCCTTCATGTATCAAAGATACTACTCATTTTCTTCATATGCTTCCATCTCACCAACTTAAGTCCATTTTATAATATTAAATAGTTAGAAGAGGTCTTCTAACTATTTTTTTGTTACAGCAGATGTCACATCACTCTATACCAATATCCCACATCAAGAAGGAATTGAAGCAACCATTTTTTATATGAAACAAACTCCAATTTATCAGAGATTGTTATGCCCGTCTTTAGCCTATAATAATATAATTTTAGAAACCATTCTTTCATCTAGCATTTTCCAATTTGCTTGCAGGTTCTACCAACAAGTTGATGGTACATCAATGGGTACAAGAATGGCACCACCATATGCTAACTTGTTTATAGGTAGATTAGATGATAAAATTCGAACCTAGTTCTTAAATTTAATTTCTTTTTATAAACGTTACATTGATGACATTTTTTTCTTGTTTTATTGATCTATGGAAGAATTACATGAGGTATATAACTTCATAAATGGAATCCACCTAACTATTAAATTTATTTTAATGAATCTGACTCTTCAATTAATTTTTTGAACATGTCACTATACAAGGACAGATATGGACATATTCAAAGTACTTTATACAGAAAGTAATTATATATATATATATATATATATATATATATATATATATATATATATATATATATATATATATATATATATATATATATATATTAGGGTAGGCCAAAAACAAAACATTTTGAAAATTTAACATGTCTGCAAAAAAACGTGATCCTTTTCACATATGAATACAAACTATAAAAAAAATTTGGAAAAAAACATCATTGAGTGCTACCAAATTTGATTATTTTTATTTTTAGTCTAAAATATGTCAAAATTAGGATTTTGTTGGAAAATGAAAAAAGATTTGAATTTTTATATCTATAGGAAATATTTGTTATTTGAGGCTGTTCATTTAATAGACAACACGTTCTTGACCCTTTTTGGACTTCCACCATGTATCATTTTGTGTTACTTGTTTATCAACTCCTACTCCGCCCCCTCTTTTATGTGCTGTGCTATTATTGTTAAAAATCTCCAAGTTTTTGCCAAAAGTTTACTTCTGCTATAAAAAGAATTAAAAAAAAAAAAAAAATTATGTCACATTGTAGCTAACCACCCTCCCCATGTGATATTTGATGACACTTTCAATACCCCTTCCCCATATGGGGAGGGGTTTACCACAATACAAGTAATAACCGCTTTTATTACCCCTTTTTAAATGATATATTGCCTGAATTACAGAAGAGTTATTTTATTTGGAAAAAAATTATTTTGCGGCTATTCAAATAATACGTGACAGTCTTATAGACAGGCTAATGTAAAACAGATAAGCTATTAAAAAAGTGGTTATTATTTATACTCAGCTAAATCAACGAATAGTTGCTTCTTATTAAAATTGGCTACAACTTTTCTGTGTTTTTCGACCATGTTGACATGCAAACTAGAGAAGCATTTTTATAGATTTGCAGTCTTCAAGAAGAGTTGCTGCTCCGTTTCTTATTCCAGTATTCCAAAACTTGTATCAAAAACTTGAGCAACAATATTATCTTTAAGATCCCATTTTTCTAAATATTCTATGATTCCTTTACATATAGAATATCCTGTGCCTTACTGAATAGGTTTAATAGATAAAATTTTACCTTCCTCGTAGTTTGGAAAACCACTTACTAAAACAGTTAAATAGTCATACTTTTTACAAGATATTTGCTACATAAGTTTCCCATCCCAGTGAAGAGTTAAATAATCTAATTTAACTTATTTTTTTTTAATTCTTCAATTATATTTCTTGCCATAATTTGTCTATTTTGCTTACATGCTCTTCTAACTGTGTTTAGTGAAATATCTACATCATTAGCTTTAACACCACCTAAAAAATACAGAATATAATTTTTTTTATTAACTCATCAAAAACTCATGAAACTGATTAGTGATTTAAATAACAATCAAAAAATAACCTAGAACTAGGATTGCTGAAACATTACTGAAAAGTATTTATCTTATAATATTTTGATATTTATCTTTTAATTTTGCTCAGTCCTTTGATGCATATTTTTGCATTTTTAATTTAGTTTAGAGATTAAAGTTCTGGATAACAGTTTTGGACTTTTATAAATGAAAGGAATGCTGTCTGGATCACAAGCAGTAGATGAGTTTATGAGGCAAATGACTTTAGCAATTGCAGCTAGAGTGACTTCAATGTCAAACAATTGCTTAACCTATTTCTTAGAAATAATAGGAAGTGTGTAGCGATTAGTTTCTAGCAATGAATTAGAATTAATAATTAAAAGCTCTTTGCATATAGATTTTTTTTTTTTAATGTTATTTACCTGCTCAAAGCAAAGAGGGCTACTACAGTCGAGGAGTCTACTTTTTTGTGGTTACAACCCTCTCTCAACTCTTTAGATCCAAAACACGAACCTTGACAAACAAGGCTGTTTTGTGGAGAAAAAAGTCTTATCCTTGGGAGAGGTTGTAAGATAAGATCCGCCTATGAGAGGTGGTGCACAAGAAGGTTAAAATCAAACTTCTAAAAATCATAGAGTAGAATGAGATTTTTTGTCTTCAAATCAATGAGAAGGAATAAAAGCTTCTATATTATCATGTCATCAACTCTAAAGTCCATAAAGTTAAAATTAATCTCACAAAGAGAAAGTAAGTCTTTGACAACCACAAATATTCATAAAAGATTGAAACAGTGAAGTGGTGGTGATGGTGGTGAAACAGTGAAATGGTGGTGATGGTGGTGAAACAGTGAAGTGGTGGTGATGGTTTCTTATTTTTGATATTTTTAGTCATGTTTTAAGTTATTAGAGAAATTAATTTGATCATCGATAGTGCATGGCACCATGAGCAATACAGTTACATCGATAGTGCATGGCACCATGAGCAATACAGTTACAACAATCCTGCTAATTAACCCAAAGTTGTAACAATAGGCTCTTTATTTGCTCTTTGTTAGAACTTTGGGTAACAAAGTCAAATTGGATAAATCATAAGTACAATATAATTTTTAAATAGGTGAAGTAATAATCTTAGATTTAAGGTTAATATTTCAAAAAGTTGAAGTATTTACCTTATAATATTTTGATATAGAATTTAATGTTGCTACTGCCATTATTTATTTGTGTTTTTTTGCACAGAACTCATGGCAACCATTACACCTGAGTTAATGGCAGTATAGAGTCACAGCACTTTTTGTATAAGAAAACTTATGTAAATTTCTAATTATGTAATGTTAAAACATCAAGTTTTACAATTTTACTTTTACTTTAAAACTTCTTAATTTTAATTTATAATTTTTAATTGCCGTTTCATAGTCTTTAGTTTATTAAATAGTTTAGAAATATTTATAAAACAATATGCCTTAGTGGCTGGAGTGGTTAGCTTGCAGCATTTTTCAAGTGAAATGTCGTGGTTCAAATCCTAGCACTTTACCCTTTTTTTTCTATTTTTTTTTTAGTCTTTTTAAATTTTTTAAAAAACATTTTTGAAGTTCTATTGATATTTTTACTTTTATAAAGTTTCACTTTTATTTAAAAATTGCATTTAGGCAAAATCTCCTTAAATTCAGTTCATAACATTTATTTGCAGTTTTATAGAGTTATTTCATCTTTTGTTTATTAAAAAAAATGTTAAAAATTGGCATATTAGTGTGCCTTAGTGACCGAAGTGGTTAACTTGCAGCATTTCCGAAGTAAAATGTGAAGGTTTAAATCCTGTTGCTTGCACATTAATTTTGATTTTTTTTTTTTTTTTTTTTTTTCCAATTCTCTAAATTACAAAATAAAACATTTTTAAAGTTCTATTGATGACATAACATATATAAAGATATATACTTATATCTTATATACTTATATACTTATATCTTATATACTTATATACTTATATGTTATAAGTATATAAGATATATACTTATAACATATATAAAGATATAGTATAACAAACAAAAGTGAGTTTTTTAAAAAGCCTTAAATTTCAATATACATCAAAACAGCGGTAGAAATTTTTTGTACAATAGAGATACTTAAGTTATTAATATGCTAATAATATTTTGAAAAAAAGTTTAATAAAAATTTATTGAAACTTAATAAAGAAAAATATTTGTCTGTACTAATTTTTAAAATTGTAAACTTCTATAAAGTTTGCAGTTTTACAATAAAAAGTTATAAAGTGTTGAACATTAATCGCTAACTCAAAACAAAAATTTGACAGAATTTTATTTTCTAGCATTTACCAAAAATTACTGAAAAAAAAATTACAATATAAAGATTAAATATAGAAATAATCAGTGTGGATTAGACATACAACGATCTGTATTATACGGGTCATGGGAAATTCATTATTCCACATATTTTTAAGTATAATTCCAAATAATTTAAGAACTTTTTGTACCAATTGTAATTAATCAACACATTGATCAGGAACGTAGGATCAAATAACTAAGATAAGAAGAAACAACAAAGAGTAATAAACCAATTTAAAAATTTGATCAGGAACATAGGATCAAATAACTAAGATAAGAAGAAACAACGAAGAGTAATAAACCAATTTAAAAATTTGATCAGGAACATAGTATCAAATAAAAAAAAGAATTTTGTTAGTTTGTATAAATTTTTTACTAAGTTGATTGTAATACAAAGATTATACAAAGACTTTATATTCAAATCCACTATTTACTATACTTAAGTGATAAAAGTCTAAACCTTTTTGAAGATGGCGTTTTAGTATTGATGAGTGAAATTAATTTTTGCATAATGTTGTCAAAAAATAATTCTCTTTATCTTTTCTGAGTTGCAAATGCATTTAGTTTTTTAGTAATAACTTAATTATAATTTTAAGTAAATATTTAATTATAATCTATTGTTGCTTAGTAACCTTCTTAGTAATTATTCTTATACAATGCTGTTTGAAATTTAAACCTTAAAATTTTCAATTGATAATAATTATTCTATTTACATTAATTACTCAGGACTTGTGTTGAATAATTTTGCCCAACATGTTTTTTTTTTTATGTTTATAAACTTAAAATACATTGTCAGCGAGCGTAATTATACTTATGATAGCTCTGGTTAAAACAATTTTGCTGAAGCACTGCTTTTGTAAATATTCTTTAACTGGTAAATGTTATGAAATACTACCTATCTTCATTCTAATTATTAGAATAAAAAACAAGTCAGTAGAAATAAATTTTTAATTTTGTCGGCGTTCTTTTTTCTTGGCTCAATGTATAATTTCAGTCAGTAATGATTGTAAATCAGTATTAATCAAATATGTAATAAAGATATTGTGATCTATAATGATTGTAATTAATAAGAAGAAATATTTTAAAAAGAATTTTTAAAGTAGGTATTTAAAATTTTATATCAAAAGTTGTTTTAGTTGTAATACTGGTAATATTACAGCAATAGTTGTAATACTAACAATACAACAACTGGTTTTAGTATTAATAATAAAATGACTCGGAAAAACAGTTTACAAACTATTGTAATACCGACAATCTCATTATTAATTTTTTCATTTTTATGTTCTTTGAAAGAAATTTACTTGTTTTCAATAAGTAAAAGATTTTTGACTTCATTTAAACCTTTGAAATTGATGATAGTGGCTGCAGACACTAGCTGTGATTTGTTAACAAAAACCAAAATGTAAATGGAGGTTCTACAACCATGATCTGCAACCATGGTTGTAGAACCCATAAACAATTTTAATGGTTGGAGATAAAATTAAAAAGTTCATTTTATTATTATTTAGAAAGAACGTAAAAAGTGCTTAGAAAAGCTTCCAACAGAACCAGGAGAAAATGAACCGAACATAACAAGTATATTATTTCGCTTTCCTGGTGGAGAACGAGTATCCAGAAGATTTCGTGCAAATGAAACTATGCAGGTTAAAATAAAAGGAAAAATTCTTTATTTTTGTAGCTTTTATTAATTTGATTGAAAATAAATTTTACAATAGTTTGAGTTACCTTACTAATTTAAGTAACTTGAAAACTTAATTTAGTAACTTTAGTAAAGTTAGTAAATATAGTTAATTTAGTAGTAGTAGTAGTAGTAGTAGTAGTAGTAGTAGTAGTAGTAGTAGTAGTAGTAGTAGTAGTAGTAGTAGTAGTAGTAGTAGTAGTAGTAGTAGTAGTAGTAGTAGTAGTAGTAGTAGTAGTAGTAGTAGTAACAGCAGTTGGAGCAGTAGTAGTAGTAGTGGTGGTAGTGGTAACTACACTAATATTTTTATTTGTAACATATACCTTAATTATGATTATTAAATTTAGGTTATGTATATGTATCTATCATCAAAAGGTTTTAACAATAATAGTCATCGATTTGTTACAAACTTTCCTAAGCGGATGGTAAGTTTAAAATTTAATAGCGGCTTTAAAGTATTTTAATTGTGGGTGCTTTTTTTGTTGAGTTTTATGCAAAAAGTGCTTCTGAAATTGAGCTAAGCTGCTTAAACCTAGTTTTAAGTTTAAATAGTTTAGCTCGATTTAGAATTAAATTAGAAATAAATTTTGAAAGGTCTGTGTAATTAGCTTGACTTTAAAAAAAAAACTAAAAAATCACTAACAAACAAAACAATTTATATTCGTATAATCGACTTTCCTGTTGAAAAGTTTTTACATTGCATGTTTAAGTAATATTCATGCTTTGACATTTTTCATAAAAATTTTCCATTAGTCATAACAATATTTTGTTATTTTTGTGAAATATAAATAAATATTATGGTTAAGAATCAGATTTTTATTGTTTGTGTAAAAAGCAAGTTCAATTGAAATTATTTGGTAAAGTTTTGAAAATTGCAACTTTTTATAATTATTTTCGAGAAAACTTTTAAATTTCTCCTTAAACAACAGATTTTTTATTTTTTACTAAATTAAGTTTTTTTTTCTAAAAAAGCATTTAATTTTCTTCTTAAACTAAATTTCGTTTTTTTTTAATTTATTTGAATTACTTAAATCTTGTTACATGCTCAGTTACTTTACTTCGTACTTCACTCGCCAAAATTTCATGCCTCTACAAAAATAGATAACATACTTAGCTACTAACATAAGAAACTATAAAGATATACTTTAAGAAGGTATATATTATCGACGAAAAGTTTTTAGTAAACAAATGGCTCGGCTTTTATATTTTTAACAGAAAAAGGAGTTTTTTTTGCAATGATTGATTTGCTTTTTAAATTATTTTAAATATTTAATATTCTGCAAAATATATTTTGCTTAAAGTAATCAATTTTTGCTTATATATTCATATGTGAGTTAAAATATATTTTAACTTTATTTTATTTGTTTTTTGATCCATTAATTTGTCTAAAATAATTAAATGATTTAAAATTTGTTCAATTTTGTGTTTACAATACGTTTTAGTTTACTAACGAATGCGTGGATCGAACGTTTGAAGAAATGAAACTTGTTCCTCGAGAGTCAATATTTGTTGAAGAAATCTAACTTTATTTTTCTATATCATTTATTATTTATACATATAATTTATTTGGAGTTATTTGTAAGTTCCAGAAAATATTTTTTAATAATGCGAGGCTTTTCCTTTTCTGTGTTTGTTTAAACTGGATTCATCTGTTTTTGAAAAACTTATTTCTAAACTAAATCTACTTTATCTTTAACTAATGGAAATGATTTCGATATATCTAATCTAATCCGATCAAACATTTTTAGTTAAATGTGGTCCGGTTTCGAAAAAGCAGTGAAAGTATTTTGTTTTTGATTTTTTTTTTTTTTTATATTATATCGAGTTTTTTAATAACTTCTTAAAGATTTTTTAAATTTTTCTTTTAAAATAGTTTATTATAGAGTTCTAATCATACGAAAACTTTAATCGTTCGTTCAAAATCTCTGACAGTTCCTGTTTTATACATGATTTTTTTTAATCATTCTAATTTTTATGTTAAAGACCTGAACATGGTTGTAAGAATAACTTTGTCAATAAGCAATCATGTTTTGGACCTGTCTAGAAAAGTAATCATGTTTTGGACCTGCCTAGAAAAACAATCATGTTTTGGACCTGTCTAGAAAAGCATCATGTTTTGGACCTGTCTAGAAAAGCAATAATATTTTGGACCTATAAAAAAAAAATTTAGTTATTTTAGTTATAAAGGAGAAACAAAAATTTATGGTCTTTTTTAAATCCTCATTATCAACTCATTATCAATGCTTTTGACAGATTCACTTTCACTATCTTCGTTAACATCTACATAACCTGATACTTTTGAATGTTGTTTTTTATACAGTACATAGTTTGTTAAATGCAAACCTTGATTATAAGTAACTTGATATATAATGCCTAATAGCCTTCCATTCTTGACTATAACGACTGCTCCATCGTGTGTTGATAATATTATATCTGACTTAATGTCAATTTCAAGTTCTTTTAACTTATTTTCAACATATTGTTTATTCAGCATTACATATACTTTTTATGTAAACTAACTCCAATACATACACTTCAAATTTTTTCATTAAATTATCAACAAGGGCATTAAGTGTAACATGAAGTTATCTATTCATAGAGTTATCAGTCCACTCGTCTACTGTTAATGAGAATTTAACGTTTTTTTTCTTTTAAATCCTTGATAATACTAACTTTTTTTTCTTATTTCATAAACTTATAAAATGCACTTTGTTACAGTAGTAGGACTTTTAGGTATGTCAAAGCCTTTACTTCTAATATACCCATTAATGACTTGTGATTTCACTATAAAATTCATTGAAAAATCATCCTCTGCTACACATCGCGATTAAATTTCCTCCAATGTTTTAGTTTTAATAAAATTTTTATACTATTGTCAGCATAAGTACTTATAAACTTTTTCGATGTCGATCACGGCTGTCGATGTCGATCACGGCTGTTGATGTCGATGGTTCACAACTTATCTTTAATGAATTTTTAGTAGCAGCAGATAAACTAGAGGAATTTATGAAAATCTTATGAATTTTTAAATGATTAAGAAATGGTGTACTTATAAAAATCTTATGAATTTTTAAATGATTAAGAAATGGTGTACTTATAAAAATCTTATGAATTTTTAAATGATTAAGAAATGGTGTACTTATAAAAATCTTATGAATTTTTAAATGATTAAGAAATGGTGTACTTATAAAAATCTTATGAATTTTTAAATGATTAAGAAATGGTGTACTTATGAAAATCTTATGAATTTTTAAATGATTAAGAAATGGTGTACTTATAAAAATCTTATGAATTTTTAAATGATTAAGAAATGGTGTACTTATAAAAATCTTATGAATTTTTAAATGATTAAGAAATGGTGTACTTATAAAAATCTTATGAATTTTTAAATGATTAAGAAATGGTGTACTTATAAAAATCTTATGAATTTTTAAATGATTAAGAAATGGTGTACTTATAAAAATCTTATGAATTTTTAAATGATTAAGAAATGGTGTACTTATAAAAATCTTATGAATTTTTAAATGATTAAGAAATGGTGTACTTATAAAAATCTTATGAATTTTTAAATGATTAAGAAATGGTGTACTTATAAAAATCTTATGAATTTTTAAATGATTAAGAAATGGTGTACTTATAAAACTTACTTATAAAAAGTAAAAAAGATGATCCTAATTGTTTACTGCTATGCTTACAGAAAAAATATTCCAACTTTTTCATTTCTCTTAAATTTTTAGATTTCTTAAACTTTTAAAGTTTAAGAAATTAATTATAAAATTAAAATATAATTAATAGAATGAAATATTAATTTAGAGTTTAGTGTAATAAGTCACTTATTAAACTAAATACTTACATAAATATACTTATAACTTGTTGTATGACCAATTTAAAACAAACTGGAAACTGTGAAAAAAGTTATCCAGATTTTCGAATAGTCAAAATATTGGATTATCCGGATAATCAGATATTCGGATATCTGGATTATAAACCCTAACTGTCACTCATAGTTGGAAAGAATTACGAGTTACCCCAGACAGAAATAGTTCAAAGTTAAAACTCGGAATATTTCTTTTCACTTTAACCCTCTCCTAGGCAATGCATGGACATCTTTTTTTTTTACGTGGACACCATGTCGTAAAAATGTTATCTGCAACCAGAGGTACTAATTCTGCAAAAATTTGGGTGGGGAGTGGCGGTTCATTTGTGTAAAGAAAATTCTCAACAGTTCACTTGTGTCAGATGTTGCTGAAATCATGAGTTAATCTGTGAGCCTTGAAAATGGATGCGTGTCGAATGTGGTGCACATCCATGAATGCTGTCATGAACACCCACTCATTACACTAGCACCATCATTGGACGACAATAGTTTGAGTCAAATCCTTATGAAAATATTTTGTCATAAATAAAATTGCATGTTTAAGATAATAAAGACGTCGTAACTCACTTTTTCATGTACTTCCCCAAGTAATATTCACATTGTTTAAATAGTTATGAATAATTGAGTCGTATAGTTGTTTTAAATTATTTTTATTTAAATAAATTCTATTCTTATATAGGATTACAATATTTTTTGCAACTTTTGTTGATATATAATCAATATGAGTTTTCCATGACAGATTTTCATCAAGATAAATACCATGGAACTTAATATATTTTTTAATTTGTACTCTATCGATAAAAAGTATAGTCAAATCTTTTGACAAAAGAAATTTTTTTGTTGAGAAACTAAACGAATCTTTTTTGTTTTGCCAATGTTTAAGGTTAATTTATTGCATTTGAATCAAGTAGAAATTTGTATAATTCATTAAAAATTATAAATATTTTAAAATTATTCATATTAAAATTATTCATATTTTAAAAATGTTTGCTCGTGTCTTTGTCTGATAAAAATAGATTGGTATCGTCAGCAAACATGATGCTCATAATATCAGAAGCTTTATTTAAATCATTAATATATGCTAAATAAGGAGTGGACCAAGGATAAAACCTTGTCGAACCCCACATTTTATTTCAATTAATGTTTTATTTTTAAGACTAATAGATAGTAGTTCATTCACAAAGTACTTACTATGTTTCGATCTCAATGCGAGCTTTCTTTTTAACCAAACGTAAGCATATATAAACTAGTTATTATTTAGTTTCTTGCATTAATTATCCATGGCACTGAAGCTATTTATAAAGATAGTATACCCGAATTGTTTCCTATTTGACAAGTAGCTTTTGTACCATTTTATCAATGGACCACTTCCATAGAATTAAAGTTTTTAAGTAAAACATCGTGATTGAATGTTTCAGAAGCTTTTGATAAATTGATAAAAATACTAAGTGTTATATTTACTAAAAGACTTTTGAGACTTCACGTGTAAACTGAATGATGGCTTGTTCAGTTGAACTATCTTTTTTTAAGCCGAATTAGTTTTTATATAGTAAATTATTCGTAATCAGGAAGTTGGATGTCTTTTCGTATATAATTTTTTCTAAACTTTTTGAAAACATGGAGAGGACAGAAATAGGGCGATAATAATTAAATTTTGATTTGGTTGGTTTAGGTTGTATACGGTCTGAACTGAAATAGGTTTTTCACAAATTATTCCCTCTTATGCGGTTTTTGATGTTTCGATCTCAATGCGAGCTTTCTTTTCAACCAAACGTAAGCATATATAAACTAGTTATTATTTTGTTTCTTGTATTAATTATCCATGGGACTGAAGCTATTTATAAAGACAGTATACCCAAAAAAAAAATCCGGCTGGTATAACTAGGAAACTGTTTAAATTTTTATCAATCTTGTTATGTGCGCGCTATTCCGATTAAATCCTATAAGTTTTTGTTAAACTTATCTTAAATCCGGTTAGTCTGATGGTACTTATCGAATAATTACAAAGTACTTACTATGATTAAAAAAAATACTTAGTAAGTAAGTTTTCAAGAATGATGCAAATATAAAAACTTTTATTATTTTAAACTATTATACGCCATCTTTTATTTAATCATAGGGAAAACAAGTCACCTAAACCTAAAACAGCATTTTTAGTAGGCACTTTTACTATTAGCATTATCTCTGGCTATAATAAGTGCCATCAATGAGAAAGAGTTTCATTGAAGTACTTATGCTAAATTAACTTTATTGTTTTCTTTTTTACAAGCATTTTTTAAAGCATTCAATTCTGTATAAATAGAAAAACGTCTAAAATTTTTTTGTCATAAAAAATAATAAAACCTCCGCCATAATACCGCAGGTCAATGAGTCAAGATTTTATAGTAAGGTGTTGCAGCAGTTATATAGATCTAAAGAGTTTTGTACAACCTCCTTATGGCTAGCAAAATAAATATAAAAAAAAATATTGGTCTTTATACCCAAACAGGAAGGGGGGGGGGCATGTATAGATTATTTTTTTCCGTACCTTTTCCTCTCCCCACCCTTCTTTTATACTTCAGAAAAATAAGTCAATGCGTTGAAAAAATTATTAACTTAAAATATGAGATTTAGGTTTCTGCATTATTGAAGGCCTTGTTTTCAGCCTTTATAGTCTCAACCAATCATTTTCATCAACAATATCCAAGCTACTGTCAAAATCACTTGTACTAGATAGTGATAACTTGTCCTC